ACCTTTGCATAGAAATAATATTTTTAATTATCCAAAAACCAAATAGATACGATTATTTTGAAAAATCTTACGTTTTAGAGAATGGTTTGCACGGTTTCAGAGCATTTTAAGTTCGTATTTCTTTGTATGTGTAGCATGAATCACTACCAGCACTTGACACCTGCCACCCGCATTTATTTCCCTTTTCGCCCCCTTTACCACCCCATTTCTGTGTCTGCCAACGAATGAGAATAAAGTCGTCAGCCCCAATAAAATAAAAAAAAACTGGCAGGCTACGACTTACATACCTCTGGCCCGTCTCAAACAGCAATCTAAACACCTGCAATAATAAAACACAACGCAAAATGCTGAAACAACAAAGTCAGTAAAGTAACATCTATAAAAAACACATTGACAACATTGCGTCTTGTTAAATTGTTGAGGTAATGGGCCAACAGTCAAAAGTTTACTCACTCACTTGGTTTTGTTTTCTTTGGCCTCCTTTTCTTCAATTTTACGGGTTTTGTTAAGCAAACTTTGCAATTCTTCGCGGGAAGTTCAATGGTTGTTGGTGTTTTGTATGTTTTAATACCCTGACCTGCCCAACATTCGTGATAATGTCGGCTTCGGAACTCGCATTCTTGCATAACAATGGGAAAAAGAAAAATAAGTGACATTTTGGCAAAGCTGTGAGTTACGATAAGAAAGCACATAAAGGGCATACCCCAAACACTATTATTTAATATTAAAATAAATATTAAAAAAGCATTTGTTATGCTATATTATTTATTTTCCTTCAATTAGTTATACAGATATTGATATTTTTTAATAGTTAAGAAAACAAAACAAACAGGAAATTATGAATAGCTTAAAAGAGATATGTTGATATTTCCATACTAAAGAATTTACTAACTTAAATATTTTAGATCATAGACTTAGTTAGTTAGTTAGTAATATTAAAATGAATAACTTACATTTGATTAATGTAAAAAAACATTTAGTAACGTTACGGCATATAGTTGATATCGTCTGGAACTATTAGAACTGAGTGCAGTCTTCTAGAAATAAGCGGTGGATCGTGAGGTCATTTGAATTCGAATCGTTCCAGACAGTCGAGTGCAGCACTATTTAGATGGCAGAAATGTGGACCAAAGTCTATAAAAGGCAACAACATGCTGTCTAATGATAGAATTACTCACAGTTCATAGGGTGATGTGGATGGAGGGGCGCTTCACAGGGAGACTGGTTGAGAATGCAAACGAGACCGAGAGTCCGTAGTGTAATTACTTGTTGTCTGTATGCACGGACTTATAATTTAATGCGGTTCTTTATATTTATAATCCAAGCGTGGTGACCTTCACGAAAGATAACCAGCTGCGCTGCCAAGTCGGAATCCCGAGATGTGTGTAGAACGTTGTGGTATTTCAGTACCGAGTCATTAGCAAATATCTTGGCATAATTGAATCTGCATACTGTATGTAAATGTACTTAGACGTACGCGGTCAGAATAACAACTATAAAGGCTTTGTTTGTTGTAAGAAAATAAATCTGTTAGAATTGTTTCCTTCCGAGAATAGAGGAAAAAACACGATCTGAAACGCGAATATGTCGTAATTGTATCCAAGAAAGAACAGGTAGATATTTTCTTTATATGAGTTCGAAAAAATTCCATTAAGTTTCTTAGTTCACTGAGTAAACTGAATTTAATTTATTAAAGTGCCAAAAGCGACTAATAAACAAAGTTCGAGCACGCCTTTTTATTTTATTTCAATACTTTTGTCTTTTCTAAGAAAACTTTCCCCTACACCTAAAATCCATCAGCTCCTCTGCGGTATTTTCCATTTATGAAAATCACAACGAAAATCATTTTAACAACATTTATTTAATAAAATATATATTGCAGAAAAACTTGATGAATTTCTGTCTGTCACTTGAATATTTTAAATGCTCATATATTGTCTTCAACTCAATGGCAAATCAAAGGAGATCATGTATAGGACACATGTAATAATATAAATTCATAAGTCGGTTTAGTCCTGGTTGACCAATTTTAATGTAATAGGGAAACTGTGCTTATAAAAGCACAATTTATCAAAAATGCTTAAAACGTTGTGTTTTTCATATTGTGCAGGGTTCTTAAACCTTTTTACCGTCAATACTACGAGATCACTTACTTTAATGCCAATGGGTATAAACTTGGAGCTAAGTCCTTTATACTTGTTATATACATATTTTAAATGTTATTAACAAAAAAGCATTTTGATGCATTTCTTAAGAAAGCCCAAAGTATAAAAATAAATATACCACAGCTTAAAAGTGCAGTGTTTTTACTTTGATGGTCAGTGGGTTTATGCTAATACAGTTGCCTTATGTCGTAGGTCTGGACTTTGAACAATTATCTCTGGACTTTGTACGCTACCCACTCCACATTGCTTACTAAGTGATAAAGAATGCGGAACCGATTTGGCTCGTTTCCCATTGATGGATATCGTGGGTTCACATGCACTCGAAAAGAGCATATTGATAAACAAAATTCTGTGGGGTGGGGTTGTACTGCCTCTTATCACTACAAATTGCGACTTGCTCTGAACAGACATCTGAGAAAATGAGAAACAGAAGGGGGAGATACGAGTTTCAAAGTCGTGAGTGCAGTGACCCTGAATATTTTTTCAATCCGCGTTGCAAGATTTTTGTTTCATTCACTAGAAGGGTTGATAAGCTTGACTCGGAATAATTGTGACTACTATGTTAGCTGATCGCTTCATGTAATTAAATTGCAATTTTTATTGATAATATTTAGGATGGCTAAGCATTTTGAAAAGATCTTATAGAAAATATTTAATCAATATAGTTGTTTTCCATATATAATACTGTCTTAAGTATTAAAATTAAAAATATGATTGAAATATAGAACACAAAGGGAGCTTTTGTAATTAACCTATAAATGTATGTAATCCGAGAAAAGGGCATTTCTAATTCGTTGCGGCCTTTCTTCGTCTTGCCAGATATATAATTTCAATGCGCTTATTGTTATTTTGTTATTGTTTTGTTTTCTGTTTAAACATCAGTCAGCAGACGAACAAAAACAACTGGAAGAAAGCGAATGGGGCGCGAGTAGCGGGAATAACAAAGCACGAAAAACAGAAGAAGGTTACAAAATACGTTGATTAAAATTCACAAACAAACCGAAAGAAAGGGGCACAAAGAGAAATGATTATGCTCGATTCACACAGCAAAACGTCGTAGCTAAAGGCACGAACCCCCCATCCGCCAGCCTTTTTTTAACCATGCACCCATCAGCTGTGGCGCAGTCAAGTGCAGATGAGCATTTGGGTTGAAAGCGCAATGGACTGAGTAAAGTCCATCTTTATATCGCTTTCGCTGTCCTCCCAAATCTTTTTTACCCACTCCGCTGTTTAAGAACAGTGATGCATGGCATAGACTTACAATAAACAAGTTAAGCTAACTTAAAAAGTACATCTTAAAAATAATGATAATGCATACATCCAATTATAAAATTTAAAAGATCTTTATTTATATGATAATGATATAATTATATGATTTGAATTTATTAGATTGCTAAGCAGTCTAGACCTTGATTTGGCAAATTCCCTTTTATTAGTTCTTTAAGTCCTTATTTAAACCTCTATACATACATATCTCACAGTTCCTAAAGTAAGAATACTGGGAGAAATATTTAAGTGCATTGTTCTTGAATTGAGAACATTCGTTCTTAAAAACCAAATAAATAAATTTTGGTATCAATGTTCTCAATATTGGAACGATATGGTGAGAAGAGTTAAATTGAGTTTGTTTAAAAACTTTTTGATAAGTATACACTACTGTCTGGACTAATTTATTTTGTCTGAAATTCAAAAAATGTCGTTGTATTTTTTGAGGAAATTTTCAACTCAGATGAGAACGCAGAATTTTCTCTGTGTAGAGAGATTATAATCTTTTTATGGCCCATAGTGGCTCCAATTTATTCCTAAACAATAGTCGTATACAAAACAGTAAACTTTTGAAAATAACCAGATAAGACTATAAAATATCTGAAGTAACCACTCCACTCGACGGCTTACTATGCAAATATATGGACTGTAAAAATGCCTGAACATGTGCGAGTGTGCCGATGGGCTTAAAGGGATTTACCAAACGGAAAATTACCCGAAAACTGTAAGCGCATAAAGAAAAAGCGGAACGCAAGTGGAAAGTGTTGCTGGTGGACTCTCAATTGGTTAAAGTGAAGTAGCAATGGGGTAGGTCTTCAGTGGCCACGAAAGTCACATTGAAGCTGATTACAATCTGGAACGGCTTCCAAGCTGTCAGAAACAACGAGTACCCGGTTCACCGGGAAAAAGGGGAAAATGTAATGGAATTTGGGATATTTTATCGAGCGGATACATTGGAATTTATTAATGGGTGGAGAAATCAACTGGGTGTGCTGTCAACAAATAGGCTCCAGTGAATGTATAAATGTTTATAATCAAGTAAACAACTCGTATCAGGGTGGCATACAATGATAATGATGATGCCCCCGCCGTCTTTATTAGGGACCCTCCCCCAACATTCCAACATCATTGGCATGCCGCCCATGACACTTGAGTCCTACACTTTTTCAGACGGGGAACGTATATACTCACATAATCAATCTATATAAGGTTCCCAGATATCGTGAGTTGGTAGCTAGGGGCAGTATCTCTAACAAATTGCTACCATATCTGGTTAAGAATAGATTGTATACATATCTGGAGGCGAAACACTTGAAGTGTGTCAGTGTTGACACTATTTTGGGTATTTGAATTTACAAGATGGTTTCCATCTGCCAAGAAATGCTAGGAATGTATAATATTCACCATTCCATGTGCTCCACTTTTCTTCACACTCGTATATACAAATGTATTCCGATTATGCGCGGATTATCAGCTGGCGGACAGTTGATTCACCTTTAGACTTTGATACTTAGCCTAGAAACTGTTCTGAAAATATTGTTATCATTCTGGGTTGTTTTCTCTTTGCAGCCAGCGAAATCGTGGTCATTGAATGGCAGCCTGCAATAATGGATTCCACGCCTAATGCGGCCCCTCATCCCAACCAGAATCGGGACTTCCTAACCCTGCAGTCCCTGCGTCACTCCCGCGGCTCCAGCTCGAATCTGCGCGCCAGTCGCTCGCCCTCTGCCAGCCGAAGCACCGAGCAAAGTAATTATCAATTATGATTATGAACCCTGCGGACTCCTCCCCCCAATCCAATCCAGTTCCCTCCTCGGGCTCCTACTCTTCCATTAGTTAGACGCATAATTGGAATGATTGGCTCGTGTTAAAGCTCGAGCTTCCTGCATCTTATCAACGGGGCTAATGTCAATCTGAGGGTCTGGATGCGGTTGCCGGGCTCGATTGGATGGGGAATGCTAGGCTATCAGTGGGCGTCCAATTCAATTTGTGCTTCCGCTATTAACTAGTTCGTAGAGCAGTGACAAGCCTGTTGAAGAAGGAGGAAATCTTTAGTAGTTTGTGCTCTACTTAAATCGACTATCTTTCCATAACAATATTGAAGATGCTGCTTCAATGAAGTCCAATTGTCTTTGGTTTTAGGAACAGAAAGTTCCACTGAGTGTAGGAAACTGGTAAAAATAAGCAAGGGATATTTATATAGGTCTAAATTTTAAATATAAACGAAGTTATAAAGAACTTTCAGTACGAGAACAAAACAATTTGTAAAACAAATGGTGTATTTTATTCAATCTTGTAGGGTGGAATTTTTTTTTTTAGTTCTATCTTTAACTTTTAACACTTAAACTAAATTCAAAAGCTTCTTGTATTAAAAAAAATTCGACAAAATGTTAGTTTGCCAGCAGGTTTTTTTCTCCACAAAAGTGTTTTTCAATCGAGGTATACTGTTGTGTATTCCCATGAATATCCACCCCGCCAGATGATGAGCGATGACTCATCTTCCAGCATCCAAAAACCTCCCAAACACCCCCCCTACGCCCATTATTCGCAATGTTTTTACGAGTTCGGCATCAACAAGCTTACAAACAGCCATGTATGAATCAAAATCAAAAAGTATAGCCCACTTTTGAGTGCCTCCGGTCATTATACTATTTCATTTGACTGTGCCTAACATCTGTTATCTGTTTGATTGCACACTTTACATACTTTTGTTTATATCTTTTTATATTTTCCTTGTTTAGCTTTGTAACCGTTGAATGTTAGCCTGCCTAACTAGCTACACTTGCAATTCAAACAAAACCAATCAGAATCATTGATAAATGTAGGTATACCAATATTATAAAGAATAAAATTGTTTTCTAGTTGCTCGCACAAACCATGCACTTTCACTACGACACACACGCACCACTCACAAATCACATAATATTGTTACTGCTTATTTTGGTTCTATTCACAGCGAAGAACACGCGATTTTAAACGCTATTAAACTGCCTGCCACTGCTTCTTTCTGTCTCTATTTTTCTTGTTTGTCTATCTCTCTCTACGGCTCACACACAGGCTGCTGTCCAGCTGTCAATCAAAAGTGAAATAACTCTTTGAAACGCTTATTCATCGCACATTCAACACACAAACTACACTGTAAATCATCGCCGGTGTGCTTTTTCAAGATCTTAAAACCGCGTACACAGGGAAACTTCTGAAATCTAAAAAGTGATATTTTAAAGGTTTTTTTCAAGCGCTAATGACTTTAATATTCAAACCGCGTCTCATAAATCTTAAATAAATAAAAACTGATTAAAATTCCCTGAATGCAATATAATTCATCATTACAAGCATTTTAAATCATAATGTGATACAGTAAATTAATTTCCGATAAATAATTGCTAAGGTAAAATGAAGAACTGAAAATTAATGATTGTAGTGAAACAACAATTTAAATTATCTACAACAGGAAACAAATAACATTGTTTTAAAAATCCGAACTGGGAAACAGCTCATTACATGACCATCTCATCAACAATATACGCTATGTGCTTAACATCTATTGAACTAACTAAAACGCGAGTCATGATCAACAGCATTTGAAACCAAAACACAAATACCCAGATTAGACTTAGAAAATAACCCCAGTCATACTTTTCTATGCGCCACAATTCGCCAGTGTCCCGGGAGCGAGCCAGCGAGGCAGCGGCAGCCACTCAGACAGCGGCGGCGACAGCGGGAGGAGCGAGTGGCCCATCCTCCGGAGGATCGGCGGCAGGACCTGTATCAGCGACGACCACGGCGGCCGGAGGGGCGACTTCCGGGTCCGGAGCAGCCTCCGCGAACACGAACAGCAATTCCTCGGCCTCCTCCAGCACAGTGGCAGCTGCACAGGCGGCTGTCTACAGCGGCGGCAACACGGTGACCGGAAGTTTGGGCAGCGGCGGGGTGGTGGCTCGTGGCTTCCGCAGCCACAGTCCCACCCACCGGCGGCGGAGTCGCGAACGCCAGCGACGCACCCATGGCTCCGACCAGGGCGGTCTGCTGGCCTACAGCGGTCTCGTTGGCGTCAACGACATGACGGACTTCTTGGGCCCACAACAAGGAGGAGGAGGCGGTGGCGGTGGCGGAAGCGCCGGCACCGGCAGCGGTCTGGAGGACTCCCGTCTGTCCGGTACCGAGGACTACTACTCCTCATTCGTCTCCGACGAGTTCGACAGCAGCAAAAAGGTCCATCGCCGCTGCCACGAGCGCAGCTCCAGCGTCCAGGCCATCGACCGATTGAACACGAAAATCCAATGCACCAAGGAGTCCATCCGACAGGAGCAAACTGCCAGAGATGGTAAGTAAAAGCGTGATTTAATCAAACATGAGATTTATTAATAATTGCAACTAAAGTCCCATTTTTCAAAGCCTTACAATATTTAAAAAAAAATGTTGAGAGATGTTTTTATTCAACGAAACATAATACAAAAATTTTAAAGTCCATATTCATCGTTGGTAAAACCATTTCTTATAAACATTACTATTACAAGAAAAGAAAATTTGTGAGAATAAAGTGGTTTAGATTTGCAATAAGACCCCTGTTCTCTAGTGAAACTTTATCATCTAATTGTATTTTTTAATTTTAGATAATGTAAATGAATATCTGAAGCTGGCAGCCAGCGCAGACAAGCAGCAGCTGCAGCGTATCAAGGCATGTCTAACAAATCATCCTTTAAATATGAATATAATCAACTCTTTGTTTTTTGACAGGCTGTCTTTGAGAAAAAGAACCAGAAGAGCGCACACAATATCTCGCAGCTACAGAAAAAGCTGGACAACTACACAAAGCGGGCCAAGGACCTGCAGAATCACCAGTTCCAGACGAAGAGCCAGCACCGTCAGCCGCGCGAGGTCCTGCGGGATGTGGGCCAAGGCCTGCGCAATGTGGGGGGCAACATCCGCGATGGCATCACCGGATTCTCCGGATCCGTGATGTCCAAGCCGCGGGAGTTTGCGCACCTGATCAAGAACAAGTTTGGCAGCGCCGACAACATCAATCAGATGAGCGAGGCCGAGCTGCAGAACATGCAGTCCGCGAATGCCGACGTCTTGGGCAGCGAGCGACTGCAGCAGGTGCCGGGAGCAGGAACCTCCACGGGGTCCGGTGGCGGCGGTCAGAACAACAACACTGGCGGAGCGGGCAGCGGTACGGGAAAATTCAACAGTGACAATGGCAGCGAGTGCAGCAGCGTGACCAGCGAAAGTATACCAGGGGGGTACGTTGATTTGACAACTTTTAATGTAGCAGATTAAATAAACTAAAATATTACCTAGTCTCTTAAGGATCAGCGCTAATGATTTTAAGCTAATACTGCCCCATATATACAAATATTGTCATTAGTTGTTTGTTAAATTTTAATTCATTATCCATCGATAATATAATACTATTCTAAAAATGTAAAACCATACAATCCCCAAAGCTTATAAGACCTAACTAACAATGCATATTCTTTAATCTAGCTCTGGCAAAAGCCAGTCGGGAGCCAGCCAATACCACATAGTGCTCAAGACGCTGCTGACAGAGCTGGCTGAGCGAAAGGCCGAGAACGAGAAACTCAAGGAGCGCATCGAACGTCTGGAGGTACGTACATACTATATACTCCCGAGGGATATCCCTATTTCATAGCCAACATATTTTAACCTCTTTTCTATTTTCGGAAGACGGGCCAAAAGGAATTCAACAACCTGACCGCCACCCTCGAAAGTGAACGCTATCGTGCCGAGGGACTCGAGGAGCAAATCAATGACTTGACGGAATTACATCAGGTTCGTAGTTAACTTGGCTGACGCTTTGGCAGTTTGCCCGACATTCGTGCTTATGCTTTGCCGCCTTTGTTTGACAGAATGAAATTGAGAATCTGAAGCAAACGATTGCCGACATGGAGGAGAAAGTACAATACCAAAGCGATGAAAGACTACGTGACGTCAACGAAGTGCTCGAAAACTGTCAAACGAGGGTAAGTTCGAAGGCTTGGGGAGGCCTACAGCCCCAAACACCGTGGCAATCCATCCAAATCTAACCGAGCTCTTGCGCAGATATCGAAAATGGAGCACATGTCGCAGCAACAATATGTCACCGTCGAGGGCATTGATAATTCCAATGCACGGGCTTTGGTTGTGAAACTCATCAATGTGGTATTAACGATATTGCAAGTGGTTCTCCTGCTTGTGGCCACGGCTGCAGGCATCATAATGCCTTTTCTCAAAACGAGGTAACTAGTGCTGCATTCCGTGCCTCGATGAGTGTTACTAATATAGTTGTTTGCTCATTCCCAGGGTTCGCGTTCTCACAACATTTCTGTCTATTTGTTTCGTCATCTTTGTGATACGACAGTGGCCGGATGTTCAGGACATTGGGTCCGGGCTGGTGCGGCATCTCAAGCAATCACTGGTGGTCAAGTGAACTGGTTCGGGCTCTCATCTACCGAGTATTTCATACGTTTATTAGTTAGCCTAAGTTCTAAAGTGCATATTTGTATATAGCTTATCGATAACGATTATACCAATTATTTTTAACTGAAATTGTATCAATTATCAACACGAACACACACTCTCGAGAAACTGTACAAAACATTCATACGCATACAACTTACCATAAACCTAATCATCACACCACATTCTCGCATCAAATCTAGCAAAATTGATTTAAACTATGTAATAACTTGAAAATGCTGACATGTCTCCGTGCATTACTCAACTATATTTGAACATACATAATTTATGTATAACCTATATAAAATATTTACATTACTATAAAACAATTGAAATTATATAAAATGAAAGTTTGTATAAATCTGTAATTCATTACTATGGGCAAATTGTTAAAAAAGGTGGGTCCGGGTCTCAAAGTGTTACTTAATTTCCGCTCCTTTGGCTTACAGAGTACTTAATGGATCAATAAAGGATCCAGGAAAAACTCGAATAACACCAACCAATAGCAACCCTTAACTAATAATAGTCGGCTCAACATACATGTGAAAATACATGTGTACTCTGTACACCATTCGTGTATTTTCAATCTAGCAGCTGCAGGTTTTCCCAGATTGGATCCAAAATGAATCATTTTATGACTATAATTAAAGTTAAAGAAATATAGATTTTTGACAATTGACTTAAGTTCACATTAAGTCCTAATAAATCAAGAAAATCGTATACGCTTTAAAATGAACTTTTTCTTGTGCTCGCAAAAAAATTCAAATTTGGAAAATTTCGGTTTCGATAAATTTGAACAGCGATTACAGTCGAACGGATAGTTATTCAAAGCATTTATAAAGTCCACCTTTTCATCTTTTAAACGTCAAACTATAAATTTTTGTACGATTTCTTATCGAAGCTATAACCGAAATAAATCACAGTCATAGAGATACATACAGCTGTGCTCAAAACTAAAGTTTTATTTTAAATCATGGGTATTAGTTGCCTGTTAAATAGTTACATATGTCTTCTATATGGTCGTCTTTTACTTGTCATCCTAACTTTAGTGCATTTAAAATTTAAGGTCACAGCGAAGTGAAAATTTTCCAATTTGTAAATTTCTTTACACAAGGAGACCCTAAATCCCTTGCTTTTTAGGTTTATCAGGTTTCTGTAATATTTCTATGCCCATGTTAAAGTCCATTACTCTTCCTACAGACACAAACAAAAAGGAATCAAGAAAAATTCCGTGTTTTTACCTATGCCCAACAGTCATTCTCCATGTTCAATACTTGGCTTAGTTTTAAGTTTAGTTTTATCTCTCTAGCTACAAAAACGTGGGCGCCAGATCGACTGGATTCGAATTCGTTAGCAGGCTTTCAAATCGCGAAAAATCTTAATGCTCATGGTCAGATTCGATCAATTTTTGGCATGTAGATGGGTATTGATACAAAAACCAATCCAACTAACACTCTTATAAGTCTTTGATCATGTGGCCGTCAGAAAGGGTGTTGCACATTGAGACAACAAACCTGCGCTGCAGTGGAACTCTGAGAGTTTGTTAGCCTAATCCCATCTTCCTAGCTCTTTCAGTTTTCGAGATCACAGCTGTCACTAGGACAGACGGACGGACATATGAAGCTATATCGATTCGGCAGTTGATCCCGATAATTTGATCGATTTAATTTTTATATAATTTTTTGTTTACTTGCTTTAATTGGCGTTTTCTTAGGACAAGTGTTTTGCTTGATATTAAGAAAGATGCCCTCCATTATCTTAGCGAAGTTTAGTCAAAGCCTTATAAACGAATTGCTGGTATTGTACTCAGACATCATACATATGCCGACAGAAAGGTGCTTAATTTTTAGAATCGTCCCGGTACCTTTATCTGATCGTCTCAAAATATCTTACAATTGAGGCCATTGTTGAGTTGTTTTCGATTCGTGGTCGAAAATCTGTTGGCATCCCCGCCTATATAAGCCCATAAATGTACAGTTCATTTAAATCATTTCGAGCATCCAAATAAGTACGTTGAAAATGAAGTGGCTTTCGGTTCTGGCTTGTGTTTTCCTTTATGTGTCCGTCACATGTGCTCAGGAAACCTGCAATGGACTTCCAAGAGGTTCGATTACATTTGATAGTTAAAGCAATATAACTGCATGAACTTTACTTCCAAATAGACGGTCTGGATTGCGACCGCGGAAAGAATGAAGGACTTAGTGGATGGAATTGTCAAAGATATGCTATGAAAGAAATGTGGTACTGGGACCAGAGATCTAGGAAGTGCAGAAAGATGAGGTATCTCGGATGTCGTGGCAACAAAAACCGCTATTGCTCCTTGAGGCACTGCCAAAGATTATGTCCTAGTCGACCTTAGTCCTGATCCAACATTTATCTGTGCAAAATCAAAATTAAATATAAACTGCACTTCAGAATTCTTGTCTTACGGTTCACAGATAAACAAGGGGATTATTCGATGTATATTCAAGAAATAATAAGATGTTAATAGTAACCACTTTTGGGGAAATTTTCATCGTAAAAACTTGAGTTTCGATCTAGTCAAAGTCATTATAATCATATTATTATTATTTATAATCATTTTTTCTTACCTTTCAATGCTAGGAAATAAAGTAAATACGTTAGATTATTTTTTGTCCATTACGTTTATTTTGTTGAATGTAAATTAAATTTTAGATTATACTGCCACAGCATTTTTAAATATATATATCTGCATCTATGCCCTAATTGATTTCGTTTTGTTGTGAACAGCTTTTAATGGTTGCATATTTAGTTTTTTTTTTTTGGGAAAAATAATCACAAACTAGCGCTTACGTTTTCTACTTTAGTGGAGTGTGGCAACGACATTGACTTGAAATATAATTTGATCATATTTGAAAAAAATTGTTTCGCCTCCGAAAACATGGGTCGAAAATCTATTGCATCATTGGATTTCAGTATTATATGCTATATAGTAAACTTAAAATTAGTTAAATCGAGAATAATGTACAATATACAGGCCAATGCCACATGATCGATTGTTTTAATTAATTTCATTGTGATTTTGTTGGAAAACAGTTCTCAAAAACATCAAAATAAAAACACCACTTTTTGGGTAAAACATGACTATGTTCGTGAATCAGTTTAATAGGTGTGTCTGAGTGTTGCTTGGATATTAAGCTGTTTTAACTGAATGATTAACGCGAATCAGGTAAACAATTTAATCTTAACTTTGTATTTTTCGCCTTTCATCTATCGGTTACATTTTTGGTTGGGAGTTTACAGGCGAGGCGGTATTTAGTGTGCCAATTGGGTTAATTGTAAAATGTATATAAAATAAATCACAATTTGTATACGCATATAAATGACGTGTGTGTGTTTCGTGTCTGTGTGGGTTTTTTTTGGGTGGGTGCCCTGGAAGTGGGACAGCGCACAGTCCAACACAAGGATCGGCTACATATTTATTAATATTAATAATAAACATTTGTTAATTGTTTAAAACAAAGCAGCTGGCAGCCACAGCATTGATCGCGAACCCAAACGAAAAACCGGACCCGGGCTCATGGTTCGAGGATCGGCGACCACCTACAACCTACAGGCTAAGGACTCGCGGCGAACTAGCTCGCCTCATATGAGAAACTGGCGATCGGATGCGCTGTGCGGCAGGGCAGCCACGCCTATGCCGCCCTGCGTGGGCGTTTGCAGGAACGCCGAATCATCGGCTGCTTGCGAGTCCGCGGCAGGCGTGCTGATTGCTATCGGTTCGTAGATCGAGCGATGCGGTGGCATATCGTCGTCGTCCTTGAAGGAGCCGCTTAAATTCGGATTGAGGATGTTGTTCGATGCGGGCGAGGCTACAGCAATTGTCCCCGTCGCCGGCAGACCCATGGCACTGGTACCCGACTCAACGTGCTCCAGATAGGGTGGCGCCGCCACACTAATCACAGTCGGCTGGCGGCGGAAGAACGATCTAAAGAGAGTAAAAGGACACATTTAGTTTTTACATAGATAGAAGATATCCTATTTTATTACAACTAAAATTATCTTTCTAAAAAGCCTAGTGCTGTGGCAAGAGATCGCGATAATTGAAATGTAATTGATTTAATTAGATATTGTCGACAGATAAGCCAGAATTTTAAACGCTTTAATATCTTGAAGATAAAATCAAATAGAAACAGACGAGGATTCCTTGCCAACCCTCTACCAGTAAATTTTTACACAGATAATGGCTTACCCGAAATTGATTCTCGACCAGACCGAGGGCCGACTTTCAGTTAACTGTTCAGCTAGGTGGGCCGGCAGATTGGGAGCACGATCGAAGGGATTGATCCGTTCGTGTGCTCCAGAGGACGTGGCCGGACGCGTAGCGGAGTCCAGCAGGGCTGCACGAGCAATTCGATTAGTTAATTGAACAATCAAAGAATTAATTTCGTGAGCAGACGCACCGTTCTCATCGTCAGAGCTTTGGGATTCCTCAAAGGGATTTCGGCCACCGTCTCCACGCCGGAAGGTTCCGTGTCGCGTTGTTCCTGCGGTGGCCGCCGCCGCTACACTCGAGCTGCTCCCGGCAGTTGCTCCAGCAGCCGAGGAGGCGGAGCTTACCTGCCTGCTGTTGGACTGTTGTTGCTGCAGCAGGGGCGTCGTGTCGTCATCTGTGTCGGTGACATTATCCAAAGAAGGCTGTCGACTCCGACTTGCACGCGCTTCGCCCTTCGTAAAAACCTTGCGCTTACAGATGGGACAGACACGTCGGTTCTCAGTAAGCCATGGATCGATGCAGTGTGTGTGATAAGCTACAAAGAGTGTTCGTCGTATTAGTATTTGTAATATTTAAAACAATAAATTAATTAAGTTGCTTTGACTGCCTTTTTTGTTTACATTCCTATTTCTGTAACTCGATGATTCTTTAAGTCTAAATGATTTTTATGGAAACAGATATTACAAATGTTAAAATTAAAGAATTTCGATAACAAATATATCTTCTTAAATATCATTAAACTTTATGTAATTAGATTTATGATATAAATGTATAAATGACAATAAAAAAGATATTTGAAGCGAAACTTCGACAAACTGCCAACTATTTGAGATTAATAAATATAAATATTGAGAATAAAAATATAAATGACAATAAAAAAGATATTTGAAGCGAAACTTCGACAAACTGCCAACTATTTGAGATTAATAAATATAATTTCTTACGATGCGAGCAGGGCAGCACACGGAGCTTATCGTCCTCGATGAAGTCCTCCAAACAGATCACGCAGGTGTCATATTTGTTGTTCGCATTGTTCTTGGTGTATCGGAGCACCGGCAACTTCTTCAGCATGCTCTTTGGCAGTCGATGGCGACGCAGGCGGCGCTGCTCGCGTATGCACTTGTAGATCATATAGATAACCTGTCCGACAAACAAAGAAATCCGGTCAGAGCAAAAACAAGCCATTAAGCTTCAGATCCCTCACCATGATGATGAAGCACAGGCCAATCAGTATGGAGAAGGGCAATATCAGCTGGGTATTAATGTTGAAGGGCAGCTCATCGTTGATGATTAGCACCACCTCGGGCGTCATGTAAGTGACCAACGCTACACCTGTCGTATGGCCCACGAAAACAGAGGGTATTCTTATGCCAGTCGAATTGTCGGCGGACATTTGTTCTGAAATTTGGATAACGATAAGAAATTGGCTATTTATGTCTGGACTTAATTAGATATGTATATTCGCTTACCCAAGTCATCGCCTTCATTATTGTAAACAATCACAGCAGAATAGCTTGCGTTCTGGGCCACTCGAACCTTGCGCTCAAAGGTGCAATCGCCGCCGCTACAAAGAACCGAATTTAGCCTAATGAACTCGTTTATTTTTAACTTATTTTACTCACCGCGATACTAGTGCCACGAATTTGGCTGTGGATGGGTAATTAAGATGCGGTGGCCTGTCCAGACTATCACAACCGTAGTAAGGGCGCTTGGCGGGAACCACGTACACTTTGAGACCATTTGATGGCAGATGGGGGCCGAACTGTGCTGGCATGTCATTAAACTCTTCAATTAACTGTAAGAAAGCAATTAACAATTAGTGTTAAATGGCATACACTGTTTATTCTTAAGTTCATGAACGAGATTGTTAGAAAAGACAGTTTATTCATGTAATAATCCTTATTTTCAGTTACTCAAAGAACTTGCCTGGCTCGTTGTTTTTCGATAGACCAGCACGTGGCCCCTGACCACGGCCGCCTCATGACAGACCAGGCACAAACCCAGAAGGGTGAGTATGTGACAACTTCTCTGGGACATTCTGCCACACAGGACACGACTTCGGGAGACGATCGGGTCTTCGCCTATACTGTTATTGCTCTAATCCGCTATGTCCGCTGCTGCTGCAATTTGTCTTTACCATCCGCACTATTAGCATGTCTCATCTGTGTGCCACCGACAGCGATTCTGTGCGTTTGGGCCTCGGACTGAAAAACAAGAAGGCGAGTGTGTTTAAGCAAGTGATAAATCTGGACACGTAAAGATTTTTTAATTATAACAGAAATTTGTTTGTGTTTTTTGAGCATTCGGTTGGAACAGATCCTTTAAGTACTTGGTAAAACTAAAAGGTTATAATTGTTGTTGTTGTAATTGTACTATTCTGAATTAAAAGTAATCAAATCAAGGTATAATTTAATGTGAACTGAATTGCTATTATCCTGTCCACCATTGTAAGTGAGGACCCTGCATGAAGGCAACCTGCGGGTATTCCTCCCCACCTCCAAGTCATTGGCAAATAATCAGCTCAGCTGATAAGATAAACGGCTTGTGATCATTATTTTTTATTTCACGACCAACTGGGAGTATTGTTATATTGTTGATTCTGCAAAAATGGAACGTTTCTTCAGTCATGCTGCAGTCAACAGCTGTTTTGTTTGTTGACACAGCGGGGAACGTTGTAGTTTCTCTCGAATGCATTTTATGCTTACTTAACAAAAAAAATCAATGCATTTCGCTGCATGTCCGTTATTGAGCTCAATTCGCCATCAATTGATTTTATCGCGATCCAATAGTGACCGAGATCTTGGGGCAGCTGCAGTAATCAAAACAAGTAGGTCTGTTTGCCGGCTTAAACCAGATGAATCACGGACAGCTCTCCATGATAAGAACCCAATCGCATGCCCTTTTTGCTAATCGGCGCCAGAATGCCGACGGATTGGACCCACAGATGGGCCAGAAACAAGTGTGGAAAGTTTTTTACGAAAAATTATTAAATCTGCTAATATATTTGGCCCACACTCCGGGGAGGGGGTGTGCAAATTTGTCACAAAACGTGTATTAAATGTACGGTTTAACAAAGGAAACGTCACAGGCATTAGCACATTGATAGACAAACGGAGCAGAGACTTTAATGAGAACGTGACTTTGTTTTATTGGATGGGTAAACAATAAATGAGAGGCCGAGGCGAAATTCAATCTGTGGAGGCGCGTGCGTTTAATAGAATTTCACCCAAGGGATTGCCCAAAAATTAAGAGTCGCACGTCACATTACATTTCGTCTTCAATTAGAATTGTATTTTAATTTTAAACTAAATGCAAAAATAACTATAAATTAAACAATAAAAGGAATTTTGGCAATCCACTATAAAATATAAGAACAATAAAAAATTCAATACGTGTTAATAATATTAATAACAAAACGATTTTGATGCGGAAATTAAGCACTACGTTTTTAATTGTTTTCAAGCTTGTGGATAAGAGGATAGCAAAAGATGGTATTCCTTTGAAAATAAAATTCTTTCGGTATCCATTTTCAGCACATGTTTTTTATATGTATTTTACTAATTCAATATAAATGTTTTTTAATATTTAAATGGTGTGTAATTTTTGTAACAATTTTTTTATTTGATTTTAATTTTAATTTTCATCTTCATTTATCCTTGCAAGAATGTCTTTATAAAAAGTCCTTAAGTCTGAGGAATTTATATTTTTTGCAAGAAGGTTTATAAAAAAATGAAAAGTCAAGGATCTTTCACCAGAAAAAGTGCATGCAGAAGACATATCTTGGCAGACGACAGACAGTTTACCAATAAGGAATGTCTGGGAAAAGTGGAATCTGTGAAATTCGCGTTAAGTCGCTTTGTTTCGAGGGCCGATATCAAATTACACATTACACAGCTCACGCAACGCCCACCCACCCACAGTCACACACGCACACCTTGAACTTTACAAGGCACGAGTGTGGTTTCAAGGTTTTCTTTTTGTGGGAATGTATATACAATCCGTACATACATATGTGCCTTGGAGTATGTATTTCCGTGATTGTGGCCAACCGAGTTACAGGTGAAAAACCCCAAAGGATACGCGAGTAATGCGCCCAATTGGGGGCAGCAGCCACAAGTTAATGTACTTCAATTTCGTATATTCGCTTTTGTTATGCTTTTTTCAGGCGTATCTGCTGCCCGTCTATGTGTGCGTATGTTCAATTAGCACAACAACAAAGCAGCTGAGCGATTTCCTGTGCATTTTCCCGACTTTTTTCACGTACGCCCACTGCCCACTCACTTGATTAGTGTTTTTCCTGCTGTTGGCTAACTTTTTGGGCCGACTTCTGGCCAATTCCTTAACCCAATCCGATTTTTTCAACACTCGCTCGCCCCTTCACTCGTCGCCATCGCAGTGGTATTGCGTTGTACTTTGTTTGGCTCCTTCCCGGGGATTTCCTTGATTTTCCTTGGTTCTTGGTCGAATTTCAACGGGATTGTGGCCAGCTCAGTGGCTGCGGAAAGTGCATGACAGTCGCGATAAGAGACACTTTGGGTTGAGTTCGCTTTCCTAATTATCGGATATTAGAATTTACATCCCATCCGCACACACACAACTAGAGATGGAACAAAATCGATGACTGTTCGATACAATCTTGTTGCTAACAGTAATGTATCGAGGTTTCCTTTTTCTTCCGATACTATTCGATTTTCACCATACAAAATCACATCCCTAACACCCAAATGTAAACAAAAGCACTATTTGAAAATTCAAAATGTTGTTCTAAATGTTTTAAATATACCTTTTAAAAGTGCTTATTTGTCGTTAAGATTTTCTACTATTAGGGCGGATAAAAATATATTTGAAATTGAATAGAGTTTCAAGACTTGATCATGACAAAAAACAATGTTAATAATCTTCAAGTTTATTTTCTTTAAAAGTTCCTGTTCCTATTTAGACTCATGATGCCAATAAAATTCCAATAATTGTTTATTAACTGACTTGATTATCAAATAATTTCTTTTCACATCTTTGATTTCCTGGAGATTCTGTTCCTACATGCTAATTTGATACTTTCTTAAGTTACCCCGATTTAAACACTAATTTTAAATGATTGCGAGAATATATTAAGTGGAACAATAATGCATTTGGATTATGAAACTTTAAAATCACATATCTGCAGGCTACTTGATCCAGAGATACATTTTCCCTTGGATAGTGTGCTTGACGGGATTTATCTTCTTTAGGATTTTCGTCATGGTCTCGACCAACCGGTCGCTCGAGACGGGCGTCTTCTTGTTCTTGAACTTGGTAAGCAGTTCGGTGGCCGTAAGGGGTTTGCGCTTGAGATAGCGACGCACTGCCTCCTCTGTGATGCCGTAGTCCCTAAAGAAAATTAATGCAGGATAATTAGGTATTCCAGTGTGGATTCCAGGGTGTTGCTTACTCGACTTTGCCGCCAGAGAAGGAAGAGGGCAGCGAGGTGCTGATCTCGTTCTTGGGCCTCTTCGCGGGGGTGCTGGTGGGACTGTTGCTGGTGTCCGAGCCGGTGAGATCGCTGGGCAGGCTGTTCATCTTGCGCTTGCTGGCATCCGTCGAGAGCGTGGGCGTAGCCGAGCGCGATTTGTTGGCATTGCTGCTGCTGCTGGTGGAGGCCTTGCTGCTGGCAGCGCTCTCTTTTTCCTTCTCCTTCTCCTTGTCTTTGTCCTTTGAGGTGGGCTTCTTTTTGGGCGGCCCATTGCTGAGGTCGTCCTCGGAGTCCGTGCTGTCGGAGCTGAAGTCTGTGGACGAGTCTCCGCTGCCAGTTGACTTGCCCTTCTTGTCGTCCTTGGACGGTTTCTTCTTCTTTTTGTCCTTGGAGCCCTCGTCCTTGCCCTTATCCTTCTTTTTCTTCTCGCCATCGGCGTCCTCCTTGTCAGACTCATCAGACTTCTTTTCGTCCTCCTCCTCTTCATCGGAGGTGAGCAACTTCCGCAACGCATCCTCCTCGGCCACGCCTTTCATGTCCTTGTCCACCTTTGCCTCCGGATCTGGTTCACTAAAATCACGCATAAACAGTGGTTACAATATGATAAATATATATAAAGTGTGATACGTACTCTTCACTGGAGCTGGTGTCGTAGTCCATTTCCCTGCCCTCTTCGTCACCGTCGTCCGACTCTTCGAAAGCCTCGTCATCCACATCCCGCTTTTTCTTTTTCTTGTCTGCGCCCTTCTTGCCCTTGCCTTTGGACTTGCCGTCGTCGCTGTCTTCCTGCTCCTTTTTCTTCTTATCCTCCTCGTCCTCCGAGTCGGACTCATCCTCGGAATCGATCCATTCGTCCATGTCAGTAATCTTAAGCTCCTTGGACTTCTTGGTGGCTGCCTTTATCAGCTTAGCCTCCTCTGGATCCTGCTCCTCCTCCTCGTCGCCGCGCAGGCGCTTCCGCAACATAAGGGAGAAGTAGTTCATAACCTTCTTCCGGCGACCGAATTCCTGTTCGGCCTCCTCCGCCGAAAGAGATTTGTATCGTTGAATGGGCTGGAAGTTGTACCATTCGGTCAGGGGATACGCTTCAATGGCTCCGTCTGGTGCGTGAGTGAATACATAGAAGGCGGCATTCTCTCCCACGCCGCCCTCTCGGATGCCCTTGAACTTCTTTCCGGTCTTGCCGCCTACTTTCAGGATCCAAGGCTGCGCCTCCGGGCGGTACTTCCGCGCTATAATTCCAAATTTCTTGCGGCGTGCCTCCTCTCGCTGATCCCGGTTGTACTCCGATCCAGCGCCGAACTTGGGCTGATCCTCCTCCATGCCCCGAAACTCCTTCATGTTGTTCTCCCGCTCCAGTTTCACATTGCGCCACTGGGCGAAATCGACGTTCAGCGTGGCATTGAACCTCATCACATGGTGCTTCTTGGGCATCTTGGGCACCCGGATCTTGAACTCCTGCACGTTGGCGGAGGAGGAGGCGGATCCTGAGGCGACGGAGGCTGCGGCGGCAGCAGCTGCGGACGTGGAGCTCCCGCTAGCAGCGTTCGGCTGTGAAAAGATCAAGTTAGGTCCGCAAATTAAGTATTGGAGGAGAAAGCGGTGAGATTTACGACTTACCACCGACTTCGACGCACTCGACATGGTTATATGTTCCACTGTAAGGCTTAATAACTACCATATGTTCCAAATTAACGGATATTTTAATATATTTTCCAAACTATTTCAAGTCGCGGGCAGAAGTGCTGGATTTCCTAGTTATGTGCAGTTGGTTCGATAACAAAATTACAGTGAATGGACCTGTTATTTATCGAAAACCAGGGCTGTCTATTCTAACTCACTGTTACGTAAATATTTATGTAGGGATTATATTTTAGGCTCTTTACACTACTAATATTTTAAGACAATAACTAAAAATAAAATTAAACATGTTGTTTAATTTGTCCTGACTTTAAACCACTCAAAAGTTTTGGGAAAAAACTTTTTGATCAAAAAACAGTGACCCTTCACCGCCACAGTTAAAGCACTGACTCTGTGCCGGTTATCGCTCATCTCTAGTTGTCAGTCTCGCGGAATTAGTGTAGTTTGGATTGTTGAATTTTACTTGGACGCTTAAAAATTAAGGAATATGTCGCGGAACGTGACGCTCTCGGATGAGCAGAGCCGGCTGAATGCGCGCCTGGAGGCGCACATGGTGTACATATGCCCGGAATGCGGAAAGGCCTTTCGCACGCAGGCCGAGTGGCGTCAGCATCTGAACACGGCAAGCTGAAGATTTTCTCCAAGCTTAGGCATCGTTTACTAATTTGTTATGTGCCCACAGAAACACGACTATCTGAAGAAGACCTACTCGGACTTCAACTTCATTCAGATCGACGAGCGCTTCCACGAGTGCCAGCTGTGCTTCAAGTGGGTGGAGAACGCCCACAAGACTATTGCCCTGCTGCAGTACCACTACTTCATGCACCTGGAACACAGTGAAACCTACCGCTGCGTACACTGCCGCATGGCGTACACAAGGCGCAGGGCTCTGAATGTCCACCTCTTGGACACGCACATGCGGGAGATCGAGAAGTACGAGAACAAACTGCGTCAGATGAAGCGGCAGCAGCAAACAAAGACCTCCACTGTGGCAGGATCTGATTCAGGAAGTCCATCAAAGGGACGCGGCCGCCCCAAAGGATCTGTGAACAGAAAGCAAAAGGATCTGCTGCAAAAGGCTCTCATGGACATCGATCTGAACACGGAGTTGGAGAAATCTCCCACTCAACCAGCGGCAGCAGTAGCAACAGCTCCTGCGGTCGCCACTAAGGTCAATTCAAATGTCAGTGAACAGAATCTGGATCGGTGTTTGAATGCCTACGAGGACATCGTGCGCAAGGAGGAGGAAAAGGTGTCCAAGTATGAAGACGATCTGGATGCTCTGTGCCAGGAGATCTTTGAGGATGGCACTAACACCAGCAAAGGAACAGCAGTTGAGGAGCAGCATCTGGCGGAAACAGAACTGCCACAGAAAAATCAGGAAGTGGTAATCATCGAGATCGACGCCCTTGGCAAGGATGAGGTGGCCCAGTTGAAGAAAGATATGAAATCGGACTCAGTGGTTCAAGCAGCTAAGCGTCGTCGCCTGTCAACGACGCCTACCCGCGACTCAGATACAGAGATGTCCACCAATGGCCTGATAAAGCTCGTGTCATACTTGTGCCCAAACTGCGGCAAAGAGATCGCCTCGATGGATGGATGGCGCGCGCACGTGTTCAAGAAGCACGACTTTGAGCACATTATCGAGAACAGCTTCAAGATTATGGAGCCGGGGCGCAAGGCCATGTGCCTGCACTGCCGCGAGGTGCAGCCGACGACCAATAGGTCGCTTCTGCAGAAACACTACTTCAAGCATCTGCCTTACAGATCCTACCTTAAGTGCACACTCTGCGATCGCACCAAGACCAGCACCTCTAAGATTCTCAACCACATCCGCTACAACCACCAGGAGGAGCTGCAGCGTAAGAACAAGACGCAATTGCTCATAAAACCGGAGCCCAGATGGTCCAGTCCCAGTAGGTCCGGTAAAGCAACCAAGCGGGATGAAGCTGGTTCCGATGGCGAGGAGGATGGAGACGAGGAAAATCTTGCTTGCGAGCACTGTAATAAAACATTCAAAACCAAATGGCGCCACGATCGCCATGTAGTCGCATGCAAAAGAGCTGGGGTTATCCGGACATCATCGCCAGTCGAAGGCACCGTCGAAGCCATGCTGAATAATCTGCGAGAGGGGCATATTCGAATGAACGCTATCTGGAAAGCGATGCAACGTGAAAAGCTTTAGTTCTAGCTTAGTTTAAGTCGATTAGCTGAAAAATAAAGAATCTGAAAGAATTATTTAACTTTTGATACACAAAGAGTTTGTTGCTGTTGTGCGGATTTTTACCTGCATTTTCCGAATTTAGAATTCAGCCTAATTAGCTATTTTAAGCCACATCTCAAAATCAAAACATAAAAATTTGTGATGTATTATTTATTGCAGTTCTATATTTAATGTTGGATAAAATTGAAGCGAAAACATCATATCATCAAAACTGGGTCAAGATCAAGATCAATTATAATGTATAAGTTCATGGACACGAACTTTGACAGTGCCGCAAGGAGCAGTAGCGGTTTTGGTTGCCGCCACATCCGAGATATTTCATCTTGATGCACCTCCTGGATCTCTGGTCCCAGTACCACATTTCGTCCATAGCACTTCTTCGGCATTGGCTACCTCCACGTCCTTCATGCTTACCCCCGACGCAATTCTGGCGGTCTATTTGAAAAAATAGTTGATAGAGTAATACAGCTTCAGCAGTCAAATATAAACCTACTACTAGGACGTCCGACGCAGCGTTCTTGGGCACATGTGAGTGACACATAAAGGACAACGCAGGCCAGAACCAGAAGCAACTTCATTTTGAACGGATTTTTAGGATGCTCGATTGGGTTTGACTAATCTTGACAGTTTAATGAGCTTTTTATAGCTGGACGCACACATTTTTCCCAAATCGAATCAAAACATCTCAACAATGGTCTTTATTATCTTGAGACGATCGGATAGTGCTATTCTAAAAAGTCAACTTTCTTTAGGAACATCTTATTTATCAGTAAGTATATTACAAAAATCTGCTCTCACAATGGAGATGTATTTTTCTTCAAAAAAAACTGCTAAATCGACTTTCGATTAATCTTTCTTAATAATATTTGTGTCAAGGAAAAAACACTTGTGCTTTACTTAATTGTCGATAAAAAGTGAATGTATTTACCTTAATGAAAGGTGTTAAACTAAGTCATGGTTTCTTTCAAGAACCTTTGTTATACCCATTAGTCAGGAATCTAAATTAAAGAAGTCTTATAGCTCCAAATATTTATTTAATTTTAAGTGAAGTTTGTAATATTAAGCTATACCGATCCACTGGGGAGCCCAATAGGAGCTCTTTCTTGGGGGACTTCGTCTGTTTTTCCCGGCACTGTGACTCATGGTCCGCAACATTATTCCGCTGCTTCGCATCTTCAAGCGACGGCTGCGCATCCTACTGTAGACAGCTTGCTCCAATGTTCTCAAATGGGGGTCGCCTTCACCGCCCGTCTTCTTCGTGTGATCATCCTCCACCTCGTGGTTGCTGGTTATCACTACGACCTGGCGACGACCATGATACTTCTCAGCAAGCTTCATCAACTCCAGGAAGCGTTCAAATTTCTTCTCCAGCGCGTCTTTGTCCAGAGGTTCTGGTTCGGGTTCCAATACACCTTCAACAGGACCCGGTGTCCCCGCTTTTGACGGGGCTCCTGGGGAACCGGGTGTTACCACTGCTCCTGCTGCTGGAGCAGGGGTTTCCCCTGCCGCCGCTGCCGTAGTGGCTGCACCTTCAGCACCTGGAGCGCCAGTGGTGGTTGCTCCTTCAGCGGGTTGGGTTGCCGGAGCGCCTGCTCCTCCTTCAGGTGCTGGGGTCCCTGCTTCTGATCCATCTCTAGCGCGTATTTGATCGCTGCTAAGCATCACAAAGTCCCCTTTCCTCACTGTTCTCGTTTTAACTTCGGCATTTGACGAGTTCCCAACTGCTGGTAGAACCTTTTCGTAGATCTCGGTTTCGGAACAGAGGTGTACATGTTTGGGGTTGACTCCGGTCTTGCAGAGTTTTCCAGCCACCTGGGCGCCTTCGTATACCCTCGCACCAACAACGGGGGCGTGGCCAAAGTTACAAGTAAAGAACGTCTGATGCCAGCGGTTATGGGACTGCTGAACGATAGCACAGCCCACGTACTCAGCGTTCTCCAACACGATCTGTATAAAGTTGTACTTGGGGGGCCTAACGGAAATGATTATAAATTATTATTAGTTAACAATATTTAAATGAGTATGATTAAAAAACGTAGAATATCCAAGTATTCAATTTAAGTATTTTTCGCTGAACATCCATTGCGTTTTTTTTTTAATTTTCAACTTGGAAATGTTAGGTTTTTCATAAAAAATTCTGTTAATAAATAAGAACGTTCTGGGAAATCGCATATATTAATGATTTATTTGAGTTAAGTCAATAACGTAAAATATTCGTTAAATTAAAATGATTGGATTTTCATATGTACTTATAAATTTAGTTTTGAAATTTGTAGGTTTATTTAAATAAGGTTGATATGTTCAATTATTTACCTGCACTTTAATTCATCTGGTTAATTTAAATGTTTATTTTTTTGAAATCATGACTTAGTAACGCCAAAAGTAATTCTTACCCCTTATGCGGATCCTTGTACTTCATAATGTCCAACATCGAAGTTCCGGTGTTCTCCCGCATCCATACCGATGTAATATCCTTGAGGACGTCCTCCAAATCTGGTATCTTTCCTTTTATAGCTCGATAACCCACAGTCTGGCCAGCGTGGACTGCTGTCTTCGTATTCCGACACTCATCGTTTCTCAAGACACAGTCTTCCACGTTGTATTTGGCTAGGAAAGCCAGCTCGTGATCCCACTTCAAGGTGCCCATGCGAGCAGCCGGGCTTAATCCGTTAAATCCACCCTTGGCCACGCTATCCCGAAGCTCATTAAAACGGCGTAGTATAAATTTTTCCAGCCTATCGTGTATGACTACAACTTCAGCATCAAGGGAACAATCGCTATGCAGTCCCTTAAAAATATAATTTTTAATATTTTCGGACCGGTTGGAAAATCTTTCAAACGCAACAATCCAGCATTTTCTGCAGTGATGAATTTAGAACTCAATATAATCAGGGGTGTCACAGAAATCCCTGTCTATTTTCGGGATATCACGTAAAAGTCCGTCGGGATCACATAAAGTCCGTACAGCTTTTCCCATGCTTTCGAGTGCGCTTTTTTTAAACCCCACTCTTCGGTTAGATTTTAAAAGATTAAAAAAGTTGACGGAATTTCTGTGAGAACCCCAAAAATGGAATTAATTGTGATTTAATGGATTCCATTAAAGCGTCATCGAATTCTACGAGCATTTTTTTGTTTTTTAAAATTAAATAATACTGAAATTGTTACACTTGTTTTCTGAATGAAAAAGGTTTCATTTCAATTCAATATAATCAATTCCGACACGATTTAAGTAACCGTCATATCTAATCATTTTTATAATACACGTCTGATTAGTTTTCTGTCACACAATAGCTCATAAAAAGATTAAAAAATCATGGATATTATTGAATGGCTTTCGCTAAACAAATATTTAAATTTAAATTTAAATTTAAATGTTTGTGGAGAATATTCAAATGGGCTGCATTTAAACAATAAATTGAAAAACATAGCAGGCCGCTTACGTGGCACACCTTTAACTTACGATTGTGTCGTTGCATGCCACATGCTTTTGTCCAGGGCTGCACAACGAGGGATCACAGTAGTCAGGAACCGTATCCGTATCGTTGGTCGAGCTGTTTTCCGCTGCTCCCAGGGCTGTAGTACCAGCCTCCTTTCCTGCTGCACTGGTCGTGGTTTTCGTCGCCCCTGTGGTGGTTTCCTGTGCTGTTGCCAAATGAATGGCCAAAATGGCAAACAGGAAAGTCCCAAAGGCCAACATTTTTCATCCAGAGATCAAGGCGTATTAAAGATCGCATTGCAAAATATACATATTAACACATCAATCCGTAAAATTACAATTTTTACAGATTGAAAAATACAGCGAAATCAATGGATAACAAAATAATTTATAAAATATTGTGATCATTTACCTTATTTTTACCGATTTTTTATTTTTTAAGACTTTTAAAAGTACTGTTTTTCTCGACTATCATGATTTGTGCTACAAATATAGAATAATTTATTTTATTGTTGTTGAAACCTATTTTTACAAATAGATATGTTTAAAAAAAGAAAGTTTGACTGTGAACTTACTCTCAAAGGTGTTAATCAGAGGTTCTAAGCGAAAGGAGTTCCCCTTACTTTTCCTTATTTCCGCTTTGGGCTGGTAAAAACATCGATAGTCGTCAATGTTAATAAAACAAAAATATTCTGGAGTATCGATAGTATGTTTAATTTTTAAACTTAAATATTTTAAAAATTATTTAACGTTTTGTAATAGTCCTTACTACTGAATTTGATATTAAAGTCAAAACCACGACTTGTAGAAAGCTTTTAAATTCGGACACTTAAGTTTTTACTTGTTGCTATTAAAAACAGCTGTTTTTTGTTTTGATTTGCATAAGGAAGGTAATAAACTCGAGAAAACCTTAGTAAAGTAAACAGATACTACATAATTTTAATATGAGGGCAAAGGACAAGCGCGGCAATGATATGTTATACAACTTAATACTTGTATTTAGCATAAATGTATCCAGTAAATAAACCGCTGTCTGGATATCGAAAAGCGCAGGGCGTGAGAGTGAAAGTAAACCGGTCGCTGATAGCATTCGAGTTGAGCTCCATACCCTGCTGCCTACGTGGATTGCTCTCTTGATTGCCAGTTGATTGTCAACCGTTTTGCTTGCACCTCCTCCCCAGGCTGCTAATCGTGAGCCACTTATTTATCGCTTCTTATAGCGACTGGTAGATTATGTACAAATATCAAAGGTTAATTTCGAGCTACAGGGGGGAGCGGTCCTCACATTTACCCATGAATACAATTTCTCTGTCTTGCAGCACATCGCTTGAGAGAATCCTCGAAAAACCCGACGGCGAGATGAAGTTCGGAGGCAATGGAAAGCTTTTATGGAACCTGGTAATGCTCTTAGCGTTATACTCATACATCTGCCTTTTACAATCCACCTCCAATCGCTTTCCAGACCAAGAGCTCGCTGGCGCAGCAGTACCAGAATGGGATCGCCAAAAGAGTTTTAACCGCCAGCAGCTACAGCACCGCCAAGAAGATTTCCACCTTGGAGCAGCCAAACCTCCTGAAATACCATGTTCTGCCGCTCGAAGAAACGCTGAACCGCTTTATGACCACCGTGGAACCCTTGCTCACTCCCGAGGAACTGGAGCAGCAAAAGGGGATCACCGCTGAGTTCTTGAGGAATCAGGGCCGTGACTTGCAGCAGCTCCTGGAAGAGACCGGCAGCAAGGAGAAGAATTGGTTGGCCCACCGCTGGCTAAAAGCTGCCTACCTGCAATATCGAGATCCGGTCACTGTCTTCGTGAGTCCCGGCATGACCTTCCCCAAACAAAACTTCAAGAACACGAACGCCTTTCTGGACTATACGTCCAGAGTGATCTTCGGATTGGGCGAGTTCAACGACATGGTGCATGCCAACAAAATCCCCATTGTTAAAATGGGTCAGAACGAACTGGACAACAGCCAGTTTGGCAAGGTATTCGGCACCTGTCGGATACCCAGAAGGGGTACAGACGAGATCGTCTACAATCCGAGCTCAGATTATGTGGTCGTGATCTACAAGAATCACTTCTACCAACTGAAAATATACAACAAGGAGGGAAAGCTCATCGCTGCCCCATATCTAGCTGCTCAACTGGAAAATATAATGCTGAAGGAAACAACCGTGGGAGTTCCCTATGGTATTCTGACCACCGACTCGAGGGACAACTGGGCGGAAGCCTATGAGTACCTGTCAGATTCGCCTGGTAACAGGGACGCCCTTAAGACCATTCAGAGTGCCCTGTTCACTGTCTCGCTGGACGAGTGTACCACCCTTAAAGAAGGTGAAGAGGCCAACGAACTGATTCTTTCGCTGATCCATGGAAGTGGCAGCAAAACGAACAGTGGCAACCGATGGATGGACAAGACTATTCAGTTGGTGGTGAACCCCAATGGAAACGTTGGATTCACCTATGAGCACTCGCCAGCTGAAGGACAGCCCATCGCAATGATGATGGACTATGTGGTGCAGAAGATGTAAGTTGAATAACGCGTGTAAGGAGCTAAGCTAATGCATCTGCTTTCAGGAAGGAAGATCCTAACTTCGGTGGATGCGGCTCGGAGGACTTTGCTCCCGCACAGAAATTACAACTTTCTTCAAGTAACAAAAGCCTAGAGAAAGCATTGACCGCCGCTCAAGAAAACGTCGACAAACTTGCCGATGCGCTCCAGATGAAGGTTCTCAAGTTCGACGGGTTTGGAAAGGACTTCATTAAGAAGCAGCGACTGGGGCCAGACAGTTTTGTTCAGATAGCGCTGCAGCTCGCCTTCTTCAAGTAACTAAGCAATCCTGTCGTTAAAACTTTTCAAAATAACTGAATGACTTGTTTCTTATAGGATGCACTCTGAACCACCTGCACAATATGAGTCCGCACACTTGCGCATCTTCGATGGCGGCCGGACTGAAACTATACGTTCGTGCTCTAACGAATCCTTGGCTTTTTCCCGGGCCATGCAGGACTCCAATGCCACAGACCAGGAGCGGGCTAAAAAGCTTCGTGAGGCAGTTACTTCCCATCAGACGTACGCCAAGCTAGCTCTACAGGGAAAAGGAGTCGATCGTCACCTACTAGGACTGAAGCTGATGGCTCTGGAGAACAGCAAGCCTATTCCAGAGTTCTTTAAATCGCCAGGCTTTGTGAAGTCGAGTCACTTCCGCATGTCCACCTCACAGGTGGCCACTAAATATGATGCTTTCATGGGCTATGGACCGGCCACTGACGATGGATACGCTTGCTGCTATAATCCTCGTGAAAATGATATTATTTTAGCCATTTCTGCTTGGCGCCATTGCCCGATAACAGATCACTTGAAATTTGCTAAAATCCTAGAGCAGTCATTTTTCGAAATGAAGAATGTTCTAGAAAAGAATCCTCCTGAACCGAAATCCAAGTTGTAGAAAAGTTTCACACAATACATATTTTTTTTTAGAGATAAGTGATGCCTCCTTTAAAAATAAAGTCAATTATATTGCGCCAAGTCAATATAGGGTTTTTTACAGGTTAGAATTTCACCCTGACTTATTTGTAAAAATGAATAATAACATTCTCTTGTGGTCAGTGGTCAGGTTCATTTTATTGTTTACAGTTCTTGTTTAAATAGGAAACGAATCGTGCAAAGTTCGTCTTTACTGTGTAGATGGTGGCCCGTCGCTCCTTCAGCTCGCGGCGTTGCTGCCGCACCTTTGACTTGAACAACACTTCCAGGGACTGGACGCGATCGCACATCTCCAGCTCTGCGATGATCTGGGGCCAGTCCTCCACGGCGAAAATGTCCATCAGAGCATCCAGCCCTTCGGACAGAGCCCACAGATCATCCTCCTCAGCACACCAAGTCAATATATAAAGGGTGATTACCTTAACCAGTGGCTCTGACAGCAAGGAGCCCAGAGTTCCCAGCATTCGGTTCCAGTTAACTCGGATATTTAAATCTGCGCACTTTCTCGCTCCTTCTATTATCATATTAAGGTCATTCTCGGTCATCTGACCAAAGAGATCCTTGCGCGCCTTGAGCAAACTGAGCGACGAGCGCATCAGCGAGGTGATGGCCTCCATGACGGTTAAATCTTCGGTTCCCTTAAAGGCCTGCTGGCCCAAGTTCATCCACATATTATAAATGTCGCTATAGCCTCCCAAATCTTCTGCGGGCAGCACGTTGCATAGGTTCTGGAGACAAATCAAATAGGACACACGCATTTTGGATACTTTTTCCTTGATGCTTTCTTGCTGAGAAACAAGCTTCTCCAAAGCAGGATCCAAAGGCTGAGCTTTTTGCCACAGTTTCTCGATCACTTTGTTCTGCTTAATGGTCTCCAAGAAATTGACGGGCAATCCACCCGTTCCACTGTCAGTTGCCTCGTCCTCCATCTCGTAATCGGCCACGCTCTCAGTCTCCGACTGATTGCTGTCTGAATCCCAGTTGCTCTGGTCATCGCTGGAGCCTAAGTTAGTGATAATCTCAGCGACCAGGCGTTGGGCGTCTAGCAAGTGCTCTAGGTTCTTCAGTGCTACATCGGCATCGCATTGATTCGGTTTGGACTGATTAGCGCTCTGGGATTCCGTCATCTCCTCCGTCTCCATGGAAATCTCCAGCACTGGTGCCTCATCTTTCGATTTGGCATTCTGAATTTCGTTTTTGCAACTCAAAAGCTGGGCGTGCGGATCGATGGAGAGTAGTTTGTCCAGGCTGTTCAGGATTTCCCGTGTGTGAGCGGCCGAGCAGGCGGGGACATTGCATAGGATGCCAGCAGCCAAAGCATTGAGGTACAGCTGCGCATGACTCTCTGCGGGAACACCAAGGAGTTCTTGTAGTATGGTGCTGCTGGCCAGGACGTTCCATGAGCTGGAGTTGTTCTCGGACACCACCAGCACCAGTTGGGCCACTGAAATGGCAACCTCCAGACCGAATTTTCGGTAGTCGAAGGCCAGCAGCAGGATGGGAAGGAAGTTGGCCTGGTTAAAGGCTTCTGTGGCCGTAGGCGAGCTCTCGCAAAGATTCCGAAGCAGATGGATGGCCTGCAGGTAGGTGTCTGCATGCAGTTCGTTTTCGAAGCCATTCTTAGTCAGATCATAGCCCCGGATCAGTGCCAGAAGAGCGGTCAAAATGTCGTTTTCCACGAGGAAGTCGCACACCTCCGTGCCAAACACCGATAAGTTCCGGAAGGCACCTGCTGCCGCATTCCGGATGGCGCCCTCCTTGTCACACAGCAGAGGCGCCGCAATCCGGGCCAGCTCGCTGCCGCAAATCTCGCGCACCTTCTCCTTGCGCAGCGCCAGCACGGCGAAGGAGTGCAGTCCGTTCAGCTTGTCCTCCACATCCGGCCGCTGCAGGTGCACACAGATCGCCTCGATGGGCCCGCAGGCCTCGGCCTCGCCAGCCGCTTCCGCGTCCAAGGCGTGCATAAGATCCGCAGAGGTGTCCACGCCGGAGGGCGTCCGCGTTTTTACTTTCCGGACTTTTCCCATTGCAACAAAACAAAAGTGCACGTGTTTACTATAGGGCTGGAATTCTCGGAGCGGGATTTATTTGAACAAAACAAAAGTGCACGTGTTTACTAATAAAATTAAATGGTATAAAAATGAAATAACGCACTTCGTTCTCACTTTTTTTGTCTTTGCTTTTGCCTTTTTTGCTGACTGCTGACTGTGGCCACATTATTTTGCTTTGCGAGCAGAGAGCGAAATTGTGGTACTTTTACGAGAGAGTGTCGAATGAGATTTTCTCTCTTTACGTAAACAAGTAAAGTAAAAAGGTAAAAAGTAGGAAGAAAGTATGCAACAACTGTTTCGGGAGACACCAATCCCCCTCATCAGCGATCTTTTACATTCCCAAAGGAAAGTACGGTAGACCGGACAGTTTTTGTTTCGCTTTGTTTCTACATTTTTGGAAGTCCCTCTTAATTTTTATGCTTATTTTTACGCTTATTTATTGAAATTTGTTGAACATTTTCTTAGTAGTATACATTTTACAATTATCCTTCAGCAAAGATTCCAGAAACAGTTTCAGGATTTCTCTTCGATGAGTTGCGCATGGGCTTGTTGAGTCAAACCAGTCGGATCTTTTATTAGTTTCTTCAACACATATATTAATAATATTTTTAAGAATATTTATTTGATTGGGGCATCTGTTAAATTCTTTGTTTAGTATCTCTGCATGAAGCATTGCTACTTCAAACAGTGCATTCGAAGAGTTCATTAACTTAATATCGCCTTCATTTTTGTTTATTTCGCGGCAGTTGCAAAATATTTTTACGTTAAGACATTTTGGAAGTATAGAAGCCAGTCTACACCGTAATGCATGTCGTTCTCCCAAGTTTTCCAAATTGCCCTGGAAATGGCATGGATGAACCAGCGGTGTGACCGGAGTGGTGTCACAAAGGACAGAACTATTTTGGCTTCGGTAGTTTTCCTTTATTAACTGAGAAACAGTTGGCGTTAGAATTCCCATTCTGTTTCTCTGGAAAACAAAATAGTTTTCAAGGGGTTGTTGACTAAATCTACTTGTACATATAGGCCGGGGCCCGGTTTGGGCAGGTGGCAGAACTAACTGACTGGAATGATTGAATGGATGGGCGGGCGCAGATGGGCAGAAGCATGGTGCCGCCGCAGCAAGCGTAGATCCTCGGCGGGCTTGCCCTTGCCGATCCATATCCCAATATCCATCGGATTACAAATGGAGACATGGCGCTGAAAAATCGACACACAGAATTCACCCTTGCTGGGTGACATGGACTCGTCTTTAACGGATGGCAGCATCTTCTCCGCGTTTCCGGGTTTCACTGAATATGTCTTCCATTTCCCCATTCAGGTTGATTTTCTTGAACAAAAGTAGTCCCAGTTGCCTGTCTCCGCCCGCCTGTGTCCCAAGAGCTCCTCCTTGCGTCCATCCAGCAGGTCCTCCATTCGCGCTTGCGCCGGGTGCTTCATCATCAGTCCAAGACTTCTTATTGCTCGAAAATTGCTCGAAATTCGGGTCATCAAAAAAATCATTCTAGGCAATAAATTCCTTCCCAATTCAAAAAAAAAACAAAACAAAAACACACAAAAACCAAAACAAAACAAACAGCAAAACAGAGAGCAGGAATTCTCGGAGCGGGAAACTTTAAAGGAGTTCAATCGTCTTGCAATAGACGATCCAGTGAAGGTGGCTGGTTTCCTGGGTGCCATCAAGGTGCCCACCCCTGAGTCCCAGCAGTTGCAGGCAATCCAGCACCAGCTGCAGCAAATTCAGGGTAAACTAAACTTACAAAATCAGTAAATCAGTAATAAGCAAAGCAAAACAAACAAAATTTGTATTCCATTACAATTTTCCATTTGCAAATAAAAGAAAGTAAATAAACGTCGTTTTCTGAATTTATTTTAAATTGGATGGGAAAAATTATCATACGGCATAATGGAATGGACTTTTAATCTGTAAAATGGCAAAGTCTGCACGGAATATTCCAACAAATAATAAAATATAATAGACGGAAGGCTGAAAAACGGAAAAAAAATGCGATATTTTTGTTTCGTTGGGCTCGGTGGCGGATGATTTATTTTATTTGCAGAGGAGACGGAGTGGGGTGATTTTCAAAGCAAACGCAAAACGTAGTACGTAAGTGTCGGCCGAACGTAAGTGTCAGTGAAAAAGGGAGACAGCCTCAGCGTAAGTGTCAGTGAAAAAGGGAGATAGCCTCAGCGTAAGCCAACGTAAGTGTCAGTAAAAAAGGGAGATAGCCTCAGCGTAAGTGTCAGTAAAAAAGCGAGATGCAAGATGGAGAATGGAAGAATGGAACAAAACAAAAGTGCACGTGTTTACTATAGGGGCTATAGAGCTGGAACAAAAGGCGCAATGACGATGTTTAACAACATCGATGTTTTCTCAGTAGCTATCGGTTCACGGTGCCTCCCCCATGCAAAGTATGGGCGCGTTCATCAGTGATTACTGGGCGTGTTCACACGAATTCAGTTTCTGCAATATGCCAATAAAACCCCTATTTCTAATGCGCTTTAGTTTGTAAAAATTATTGTGGCAAAGGTGTAAGCAAACCAGAAGTCAGTAACTAATTACGCTATGCATAAAATTGATCGGATCAAGCCTAGTACTCAGATCGGCTAAGAACTAGTCGAAAAATCGTATTCTTTGTAGTGTGACCGAAGTTTTCAAAGTTCACCCGCAATGCATGTAGCATGGTCTTACTGTCAAGCAGTTGGGTTTGAAATTGAAATTTAAAAAGGAGGAGTCTGCAGGTACACAATTAAATTAAAATAAAAATAAATGGAATGTTCATCAAATGTTTTTATTTATCTAAATTAGTAGTTTAAAGCTTCCTTCTGGTCCCACGGATGCTGCGCCGTCTTTCCCGCTCCACCGCAGTTCAGCTCCGAGTCCCAATAGGCATATTGGACCTTGAGGAAGTGGGAGCCGGATTGGGAACGGGGTTGATCCGCTGATGCTGCAGGAAGTCGCCCAGCATCCTGGCAGTGGCTGGGTAAGGCTTCTCCAACTGTTCCTTAGCGGGTGCTCCATTTTTCTCCTCCCTATAGAAGCCAGCGGGTCTTTCAGCTCCGCTTAAGCTGCCAAGTAGCTGGTGGTGGTGGTGTACGGAGTACTATTGGAGAGGTCGTCGGAGATCACTTTCTTTGCGAGGAGACGCCCGGCAGGATGTCCATGCAGAGAGCCAAGTCCCACTCGGCATATTCCTTCCCACTGGGATTCTCTAGTGGATCTCCTCCAGCACTTCAACTATTCTGCGGATTTGCCCCTGTTGTTTTGCTTCCTGTCGGTGAAATCCCACAATAAAGCGCAACAGCTTGGATTAGGCGTTCTATTTCATCTGCACTGACCTTCTGCACCCTATTTTGGGGTTTTCCTTTCATTTTTAATATTTAGTTTCCACATCGCCTTTGCACGAACACCGCCAAAGATTAAATGTCTTATTCTTTGGTCCGCGGCTAACGGCGCTCATCGAAAATTCACTCGCGAAATCTGGTATTTTGTCTGGTATTTCCTTAGCTTATCTGAGTACCGCGCTCAAAAACAGACCCAAAGAAAACCTTTAGCCGCCTGTTTGCCTCTCGCTCACTCCTATGGTTAGCTCGCGGTTTTCGTCGATCTGAGTACTAGGCTTTACAATTAAAATTTTAATAATATACATTTTTGGTATTGAACGTTTAAACGTTCAGGGGCTAAATATCGTTTTTAACGGGCCTGGTGCACATTTTCTGAATGACAAACTTTAGCTAATGTGCTGAATAGCAGTGTGCACCCGTCTGGCAACGCCCATCGTGTGCTGCCACCTGTCTTGTTTTATTCGATACCTCACTTATCGAGACCACTGTGTTGTATTCACATCTCTAGCGGCAGAAGTGCAGACAATTTTTTCACAAAAATTTATAAATGCAAATTAGAGAGTGCAGTGAGATTTGTGTGCAATGGAAGCGAGTTTAGAGGAGAGCATGGACAGCGATCACGCTAGTTCGCCAATCAGTAAGCCGGATGCGAGGGAATCCCCACCAGGAGTGGGCCTCAATGGAAACGGCAATGGTAGTGGTAGTGGCAGCCAGGAGACCCCGAATAATGGCGTTGCTATAGCCAAGGAAAAACCAAGCGAGGGCCAGTGGTGCGTAATCAGGAAAACCAGTTTTGATTGTGAAACAGCCCTTTTACCTTGACCCAATTTCAGGACCAAGCCCTTCAATGCATTCAGTGGGCGACCCATTGGGGAGCACACAGCCCAGCAGCAGGCGCTGCAGCAGCAACAGCAGCCACCGCCGCAACAGCAGCAGTCGCAGCCGCAGCAGCAGCAGCAACAACCCCCTCCTGGGACAAACGGAGTGACGGGACCACCGGAAATCTGGGTGGAAACCAAGGCGGAGGACGGCCGCTCCTATTATTACCATGCGGTAACCAGGGAAACCACCTGGACCCGACCCGATGGACCCACTGTCAAGATAATGACCCAGGCCGAGGTGGAGGAGATGGCCAAGCGACCAGCCCAAGCCGCCAAGGCGGAAGCGAAGGCCGCCGAGACTCCAATTGAGGTTCCAGGGGTGTCGTCCCATCTCACCTCGCAACCGCCACCGCACCTGATGAGCCAGCCACCACCAAATGCGGCGACTCCGCTGCTTTCCCAGCCGCCTCCAAATGTGCGCCAGCAGCCGCCGCCCATGTTCCAGCCACCTGGGATGCAGCCGCCTCCCGGGTTTGGACAACCGCCGTTTTGTATGCCGCCGCCGGCTTACGGATTTCCTGGAGGCGCCGCTCCAGGTGGAACGCCTTGGGGCGTTGGCATTCCGCCCTGGCAGCAGCACATGCATGGCGGCCAGGATAACAAGCCAGCCAAGTCGCTAATCATCAAGCCGGGCGTTATCGATCCAGCGGTTATTGCGCGGGCAGCAGAGTGGTCAGAGCATCGTGCTCCCGATGGCAGACCGTACTACTTTCATGCCGCTCGAGGGGAGAGTGTATGGGAGAAACCTCAGGCACTGAGGGACATGGAAGCCGCCAGAATGGCTGCCCACTCTGGTGTGGCGCCTGCTGTGGCAACGGCTCCGTCCGGACTACCGCCCCACCTGCTACCCAATCCCATGATGCATATGCCACCGGGCTCTGCGCCGCCGGGATTTGATCCCCATGCCGCTTTTGCAGCCGCTGCTGCAGCAATGAAAGCGAATTCGGAGAATACCAAGGCGGCGCAGGCTGCCGCCCTCGAAAAGGAGGCTAAGAAGGCGGCGGAAGAGAAGCGGAAAAAGGAGGAGGAGCAGAAGAAGGCGGCAGCTACCGCAAAGCAGACGGACAAGAGTCGACCGGTGACAAGTACACCCATCGCTGGAACGCCGTGGTGTGTCGTGTGGACAGGAGACGCTCGCGTCTTTTTCTATAATCCATCGACGAGAACTTCGGTTTGGGACCGACCCGAGGACTTAATGAATCGCGAAGACGTTGACAAGGCGGTAAACGAACGTCCCGAGCAACTGAAGACCCCGCAGGAAAAGTCCGCTGAAGCGGATCAAAAATCCAGCGAGGAGGCAGCCCAGGAACAGGCTCAAGCGCAAGTTCAAGCCCAGCAGCTGGAACAGGTGCAGCGGGTGGATCCAGAGGACGACGATGACGACGAGATTATCAAGATTCGAACTGAGTCCGAGTCCAGTGTGGAGGAGGTGCCTACCAAACGAGTGCGAATGAGTAAGTCAAAGGTTGCTTTAGGCGGATAAAGCCTATATATTTATTAATTATTTATATATTTTAATATACATTTTATGTATTAATTTTAATATATATTTTAATTATTTTAAGCCAAACAATAACTCATATTTTGTTTTATCCTTTTCCTTACATTAGTTTCAAAGTCAAAGCGGGCCGAGGATGCCGCCTTAGAGGCTGAGCAGCGGGCAGCTAAGGAGCGGGCTTTGGTACCCTTAGAGATGCGCGTCACCCAGTTCAAGGAAATGCTTAGAGAGAAGGACGTTTCAGCTTTCAGCACCTGGGAGAAGGAGCTTCACAAGATCGTGTTCGATCCGCGGTATCTACTGCTGACATCAAAGGAACGTAAACAGGTATTTGAAAAGTATGTCAAGGATCGGGCCGAGGAGGAGCGTAAGGAGAAGCGAAACAAGATGCGTCAGAAGCGGGAGGATTTCCGCAGCCTAATGGAAGAAGCCAGGCTACATGGCAAGTAAGTATTGGGAATGGGTTCCTGTTAACCTGTTGGTCCGGTCCCACTGGATACTTATTGTATTCGTTGAAATATTGTAGAAATGGGCTTCCGAACCTTTGAAGCATAAGAGCCCTCGGAAAGGCCGAGATATATGTATAACTATATAATTTTTAGATCAACCTTTTTGATACCCACTCTGGTTAGGTTACTACTAGCAAAAAAGCAGCGTTGAAAATGGTTGCCTTTCCTAAGAAAAATGTGTTTAAAATGAACCAAGTCAATATATTGATTTCACTCACTATCATTTTCAAAGTTTATGGTATCCATTTGCTAACCGTGAATCGTTTTCCAGATCCTCGTTCTCCGAGTTCAGCCAGAAGAACGCGAAGGAAGAGCGGTACCGGGCTATCGAGAAGGTCCGGGAGCGGGAGAGTCTCTTCAACGAGTACATTGTGGAGGTGCGACGTCGCGAAAAGGAGGACAAGCAGTTGAAGAAAGAGCAGGTAGGCCTAGGGTATGCTCGAGCGCCAAACCCCATCACCTTACGTATCTCGATGTTTAAACATAAATGCATATACCTTTATATATATTTAACTTACCTGTATGCCAAACGTATTTACATAATGTGATTGATTTTCTGTTAACTTTTAAACCATAAACAACGTGTGAATCGAAACCGAATCAAACCAAACTGAAAATGAAACCGAATCTGAACCCTGATCGATTGAATTACCCCTGAACGTGTTGGGTTCCCGGTGGTTTGCCACCCGATACCTTAGCCACTAGCTAGCAGGTTACAGCACAAATGCACCACCCAAAACACCAAAATACACAACAGCAACAGCATCAAGATCCACCTGTACAACCACCTCAACAGCCAATTCCGCCCGCCGTCCGTCATCGCCGTCCACTGATCTACTTGACCACGCACATGTTTGCAATCTGTGTGGTGAGTTACTTGAAAAATACAAAGCAAAAACATTAAAATTTGTTTTCCTGCAATAAGAGACAAATTTGGAAATAAAAACAATTAATAAAAACAATAAAAACAAAAATATCGAAAGGTTTGCCAAACTGAAAATTACCTGATAATCGTTGGTGTGATTTCCACTTCCCGCCCTACGCCCCACGTCGCCCTCTCGGATGTTATATGCGATGTGAAGAAGAGGATGTTGCGATGTTGTGAATGGCATTGGGAGATCATGAGTGATGAAGTTAGAAGTTCGCGTTGGGCTCTCGGATGGATGCCAACGAGCCGGAGACAGGCAGAGAGAGATTGTTCCAGTGATCCAGAGCGACAGCAATTCGTGTGCAGGTGTCTGCGGCGCTGAGCAAACAGTATGAATAATACTTAATTTAATTAACCCACTATTTTCGTTTTGTTTACAAATAATGAACACACACAGCAGTTTGTCACCTGAAAGAGGCAAGCCCAAGGAACCGAACTCAGCCCAATACAACCTGCGTAGACCAAAGAAGTGCGAGATTGTTGGGCCCTAAGATCTCAGCTCTTTGCTCTGGCAGGTTCAGGCAGCGGCCCGAAGTCGCTGAAAGGCTCTCAGCCCCTATCCTTACCATATACCATATATTTACTGTAGATGTATTGACTATTGTACCCTTCGGCCTTGCTGAAGTCTCACCTCCACCGCCTGCTGATCAAGAGAGAAAGGGCGGGGTTAGGTGGTCCGTCTGCTGTGTTAAGCACGCACATTCTTCAAATATTGCTTTTTTCTGCACCTCCATTATTTTAAAATGTGTTGTATATTTTAATTTATCAATCGCATTGATTTGAATTCCTATCGCACGTATATTTTGCTATTGCAGTTTACTTCACGTAGCTTCTGAATTTAGAAAAGACACAGTTGAAATCTGGATTCTAAATATGAATGGTTAATTTACAAAATGATTTCTTGTGTTATTTTATGTATTTTAAATTTCAAGTTTAGAGACAATGATCTTAGTTGCAATGTTTAGTTTAGGCGATTTATACAAAAAAGTAATTTTTTATAATAAAAGCAAGTTTTAGACTTTTGTTAAAAATTGTTTTAAGTGGATTACATTTCGGATCTACTAATTTTTGTATATTTCTGAAGAATGTATCTACAAACCAGATGATACTCTTAAATAAAAAGATAGTGGGAAATTTGTTATGTTACACTATAATGAAACCTGAAGCTTTGTGAATTATGCAATCATTTGAATTTATGCTTTTTATTTGTTTATTTTGGCATTACCAAACGCGATTTTGTGGTTCGATTGTAGTCTGTCCCTGCCAATTCTCTCTCAGCAAGCAGGACCAGAACTAATCAAAAGTTTTGTTTCAGCTAAGTCTATGATCGCTAATTTAAACCCTTCTTTTGCAGGTACAAAACCGTGTAACTATGTTCAGTAGCTTAAGAAACAGTAGTCCTAAGCTTTAGATTAGCCCATTAAGTGATAGAATGTTAAGTGAAGGGCGCATCAATGCCAGACTTCTAATTCGATCTCTCTGTCGCATTTCTCTTCTCTTCCGCATGGCTGTCATGTCAATATTCCTTTCACATACACTCACAAACTTTAGATCCGTAAGGACTTTCTGGATATGCTGCGCGAACGACACGACATCGAACGCCACACCAGGTGGTACGACATCAAGAAGAAGTTTGAGTCGGACCCCCGTTACCGGATGGTGGACTCCATGTACCGGGAGGAGTACTTCGAGGACTACCTGCACATCATGAAGGAGGAGAAGCGAAAGGAGCGGGAGCTGCGAGAACAAAGAGAACGAGAGCGACACCGAGAACGCAAATCGGACCGGAAAGACAGGGACAAGGACAAAGAAAAGGAAAAGGACAAGAATCGGAAGGATCGAGGACGCAGTCGCTCGAGGGACAAGGACCGCGAGCTCAAATCGTCCAAGGAAAAGGAGAAAGTGAAGGAGGAAAAGAGCAAGTCGGAGAAGAGCAAGAAACGCGATACTCCGGTAAGTCAATAATCCTTTTAAGACTTTTTATTACGTTTACATTTTGCTACTCTTTCTACTTTTCATAGGAGGAGGGTGAGCATCGCGAAGAATCCGATAGGGAAGGGCGAGCCGGCAGCGACGACAGCGAGGTGGCTCGCCAACGGGAGACCGAGGCTGAGCAGAAGCAAAAAGAGCGTGAAAAGAAGCTGAGGGCAGAACAGAGCATTCGGGAGCGGGAGAAGGAGGTGCAGCGGACCCTGGCCGGGCATCTGAGGGATCGGGACAAGGAACGCGAGCATCACATGCGCGAAGAGTGCATTGGCCACTTCACGGCTCTGCTGACAGATCTGGTGCGGACGCCGGATTTCACATGGAAGGAGGTAAAGCGCCAGTTGCGGAAGGACCATCGCTGGGAACTGATCGAGACACTCGATCGAGAAGATCGCGAGCGGTAAACAACATTGAATTATTCATTAGCTGTAAATCTTAGAACATCAACTTTACTCTTGCAGAAAATTCAACGAGCACATTGACAATCTGATGAAGAAAAAGCGGGAGCGATTCCGCGAAATGCTGGACGAGATTGGCACTCTGCAGCTCACTAGCACTTGGAAGGAGATTAAGAAACTGATCAAAGAGGATCCGCGATACTTGAAATACAATTCGGACAAGGGAGAGCGCGAGTTCCGGGACTACATCAAGGATAAAACCATGACCGCGAAAACCGCTCTTCGGGAACTGTTGCAGGAGTGCAAATTCATCACCCACAAGAGCAGCGATCTCATCAAGGAAAATCCCAATCACCTCAAGGAAATCCAGGACATACTGAAGAACGACAAAAGGTAAGAAAAGATTAGCTTATCCTTCAGTTATTGCCTGTAATTCTTGACACGAATGGCAAAATCAAAATTGTGTTCCTAATTTTGGCAATATACCTGTTTTCAAGTGTCCAGTTCGTAAATCCTAACCTTTTACTTCTCAAAGGTATCTGGTGCTGGACCACATGGAGGAGGAGAGAAACACTATTGTCCTCGGCTTCCTAGAGGAACTTAACAAACGCGGCCCTCCGCCACCACCCACAGCTTCTGAGTCAACGCGCCGCAACAAGTAGTGGCATTATAACATAACTATTCAATTTAATCATAACAATTAAATTATTATACTAAGCCGAAGTTGTTTAACTTCCAATATTTTAATTGAATAAAATACACACATTAATGCAATTTAAACCAATAAAACCAATATTTCCTTTCATTCGTAAATATTTATTGATCATTTATACGTTATTTTAGAGTTCCGATTTGTATCTATATGTTGATCATGGTTCACTTTTTGTATTTATTATTATATAATTCTTTGTGTTCTTATTTACCCATTCATCGGTTCGCTTCATCGCTACCATTATTGTTTAATACACATTCTTTCTTCACTGTAGCCGAGTTTACTAATATCTATAAATAAATACAAATACAATAATCCGTAATTTTATTCGTTTTCAAAGCCAGACTTCTTTCCATCCATATGGAAAATGGTTGTGTATTAGGAACTAATATTGAAAATAATGTGTCCTTAGTGTTGCAAACAAATCTTTTTCCTCTCGTTTGTATAAAGTTGATTCTGGTTTTGGTGTTTAAACATGTTAATACAAGCTCAACTAATCCAATAACCCTTTTAAGAGGGATATGATCGGTTAAATAGCAAGACCGTCGCCGCAATATGGTTCACCATACAGGCTCTGATTTTTAATATATATTTCCATTTAACAATATGTTTAATCTATTACAGATCGAAAAAGAAATCGGCTTAAAATATTTAGATGGTCGACGATACTTCTAAATATTAAACAAACATTTTCGATCAATTGATAAAGTTGAAAAATAGAAGGTTTAAATGGTTAAGGATTAATTTCTTAGTAGATATCGGATTTCCAGAAACGTAGGTCTCATGTTTAGATTTTTGATAAATCTTGGTTTTGTGGGCAAACATTTGTATTCAGCCAAATTTCTATTAGAATAGAATTTTTCGCATATAACCCGATGTCTACTTATTACAGTTTTGTACGCTTTATCCGTTTAATGACCCAATTTGCATTTAATATGAGAAAACAAGATAAAATAATAAAAATTTTAATATATATGATAAAACATAATTTGAGCATGACCAGTAATGCTAGAGAAACCAAGAAATATGTAAATTGGGGTATGCATACCTCTAAATATTTTAAAGAACTATCTTTGCGATCTTTTTCGATCCATTCAGCACCCGTCCGATCAATATACACGCACCCACTCAAGCATCTATCTATATTAGCTGGTGTTTTAGTTGACTGCTCTATGTATTCTAGAATTTCGATTCTCTATGTTACGCTACAACTGCTAGTTACTATAGTTATAATATTTACTTGTTGTTGATCTTATTGATTTCATTTTCGGTTTCGGTTAGGCACAAAGTAACTGGTTTTCATTTTATCCTTTTCATTCCTCATGGTTCACGATCGAATTTTATACTCTATTTTTTATTTACTAGTTATATTTAGTGGCTACTACCAATTTATTGAACAGTTTAGTGTAGTTGTTCCATAATTTCCTCTCTTTATAATTAAATTGTAATATATTGCTACAGGTGTGTTGTTGTTCTTTTTGTCGTGCAAACCACATTCCATTGTTGTAAATTGAAAAATACAGGTGTGTCTTTGTGTCTTCTATATGTGTTTATATCTAAATAGTAAATTCTATTACAATTAAATGTTGTTTTTCTTTTGATATACATCTACATATACAGACAAAAAATTGCGAGAATCGGGCGTGTGGAAGTTGTGTTGGAGTAAAGGGTGCATTGGTGAAGGACTCCTCCTTGAAAATTATGAGATTTATTCCACTTGGATCATGGAATATCTAAGCGAAGAAACTCACGAATAATAAACTAAAGGATTCAAGCAAAATAAACCAAATTTTAAAATCATATAAAAATATATTTTTTATTAAATAAAGCAGTTTATGAACTAAATGAAACTTTTACTAAAATCAGCGATAATACTCCAAGTCATAAGGTTAGTAACAGCGTTCCAAAGTTCATACTCTCATATAATAATTTTTAAGCTTTCTTATAGAAATGTAATGACGAAATAAATGAAATTAAGTGCTTTATACATTGTAAAAATGTGTATGTATATTTTAATTTGTTTTAAATGCAAAGTTACCAATTGTAATGTTTCAATGTTGACAACTATAATGTAAGTGTTTTTGTTCTTTCTTTTTATATGATCTTTATGCTTATAATTTGAAAAGCATTCAAAATGCTCATTACAAATTGTGGGTCTATACAATTTTAAATTTATGTTTTGGTATAACAAATTTTGTTTCGATGATGTGGTGGCCAAAGCAACGTGATATCTTTTTGCATGTAAGAATATAAAACACAGAAAACCGATTTGTGGAAATTGAACTACGCGTGTCTCTTGTTTGCCGTATGCAGTTTTTCTTAGTTTTGCTGTTTGTCTCGTTAGAATAGATATAATATAATATAATATGTGTGTATATAATACGTTCATATAAATAATTAATAATAGTAATCATAATCATTAATAATTCATCATCTGTTCGGTTCATATGCATAACTGTTATTGTTGCTATTGTGGTTGTTGCTGTTCTTGTTGTTTTCTGCAGTAGTAATTCATTAGTAATGGTTAAATAAGCGGTTTCTTCTTGGTTGTCAATCAGTTGCCCTTCGTTGCCTCTTTTGCGGCCATGATCAAAGGAGTCAGACTGGCCAATGGACGGGCCAGTTTTAGGAAGGGATGCTGCAATGCGAATAGGAGATTGTAATGATAGTCCGTGTTATCAGTTTGACTAAAGGACTCACCTTCAGCAAGTCCAGTGCACTGGCTCGCCGTTCTACCTCCACCTCCAGACACTGGTCGAGGAAGTCCTGAAATGCTCCGGACAACTTGTCTTTTTCTTTAATCTCTGGCTTGCCATTAGTGGCAATGAGGTACAAGGCTTTTAGCGGATTCTCGTTCAAGTATGGCGGTTCGCCCTCAACCATTTCAATGGCCATGATGCCCAGCGACCACAGATCCACCTGCACGAGAATAGAGTCGATTATTCAAAAATTATTCTTTTTTATTTTTAGCCGATCGGCAGACTGGATAATCTTAAGGTCCCATTTTACTGTTTAGTAATCTAATCTAAACTAATCTTTTGGATGTAAAACCAATGTTTGTTGTTAACAACAACAATTTATAATTTTCAACCGTTTTCCCTTATTATAAATTATTCAGTTCAGACAGAATAAGACTACCAAAACTGTTGAGCCCCACTGCGTTGATATATAATCTCAACGTACATACCAAAGATATTCCCAGATATTACTTGATTACTGCCTACGTCCTTATTGCTTAGTGATCGTACTAACCTTAGGTCCGTACTGCTTCCGGGTGACCACCTCGGGAGCCATCCAGTAGGGAGTGCCCACCATCGTTGTGCGTTTGGATTGCTCCGGCGATATTTGCGCACAGAAACCGAAATCAGTCAGCTTGACAGAGCCGTCGAGGCCCAGCAGGATGTTATCACTTTTGATGTCGCGATGTATGACCTGGTTGGCGTGGAGGAACTCCAGGGCTTGCAGCACCT